AGCCCCAAGCTTCAATTTATATATAATAAAAACTGGAAGAAATAAAATACATCATGGACAACTAACTTAATATTACAATCATCAACAAAGGAGACTCCGTAAACGAGAGGTAAGACTTCAACGCAGAGTATATTCTTCTGACAAAGAAAAACAATTACTGAGATTCATGAAGATACTATCTATACCCGTTTTAAAAAGTTGTTACCGATAAAGTTTACTACACAAAACATTGTGGCAAGTCCGTTTATACACCTTTTTATGAAATTTTTGAGCTGCATAAGCAATGATGTTAGTTTTTTAAAAAAATTAATCCAATAAATGTGACATAAAAATTTATCGCACCCCCAGGGATACGCACGTGTATCCCCCTTGCCGCTTATTTACAAAACCCGTACTCTCGTGTCACCCGCGCGAAACCCACCCCCGCGTCCAGGCGGGCCGAAAAACGCGGCAACGCCGCACGCGTTCTCGACGCCGAAATACAAACGATTCAGCCGATTCATTCCAAGCCAGAACACCTTGTTACCAATAAATTCAGTTAACGTAGCGTTCTTGTTGGATAGAGTGGTGGGATTTGTTCGGGGATCTGCACGGCACCATAAAACAAGATAGAAAACGCGTGTATTTCTCCTACTCGGGTCGGCGAGGGCGGAGCCACGGCCGCTGGGCGTGGCCGATCGGCGGTGGGGAGCCAATGCGACTCGAGCTACGCGCGCTGGCTCCGCGTTTTCCGTGTAGTTGTTGGCCCGAACCGTCCGCCGCGACCCGCCCGTCGACCGAGAACGGGCGAAGTAAAAAAAAGGAAAAGATAGGCGCTCTCTCCACGGGCACCGAAGGACCGTTACGCCGGCTCAGTCGCTATCAGATCGCCGAAACGACGAGGTCGGCGCCGTCGCCGTTTTTCACACACTGTTTTTGTTGACGTTTCGTGCGCGTCCGCGTATACCACCCCCCTCGGATGGATTAACGCGTTGTGCGGGTGTGTGACAGTGATTTTTCGACGTGCGACGTTTCCAACTTGAGACTGGAAGGTGCCGGGGTCATGGCGGCTTACGCCCAGTTCGCCGGCTACTCGTATCCGACGGCCTCGCAGGTATTTACCGATTTTTGGAGTCCGACGGCTCGGCTCTGGTTGTTTAGCTGGTATTTTAGACCGCTTGGTCTCTTTGAGAACTATTTAGTACCATACGCTGGGTTTGTGAAGCTGTTCCCGGTTCAATTTTAAGCGCCAAGTTCTTTATGTCTCATTCGTACGATCAACAATCTGCACTTTTAGAATGTTCCTTAAAAGATGGTTCTACTCTACCCATAGCTGCTTTCGACTGACTTCATTTTGGATATAATTAATGTCAGGGGATGGAAGAATGGAACACTTTTCTTTGATACTTCAACTGTAAAATTTCATTTAATTAATGTCCGTTTCTATCTCCTCAGACCGTACTACGATGTACAATATATAAAACGCTATGTCTTTGTTTTTATCCCATCCGCTACATAAAAATTATTCTCTGGTTCGACTCGCTGGCTTGATCTCGAGCTTTCATCTTTGGATTATGTTGAACGCATTAGTCTACAAACATGAAAAATATGTATGTTTCGCTTTCACATACTAACATATACCCTTCATTACTTCTGCTCAATATTGTCAAACATACAACTAAGTTTCAGGTCTACTGCGTATGAATTCTATTTAGCCGTAACATTTTACTGCACAGTAGTAATGTTTGACCACGCGTAAATCAAACTCCAAGACGACTGTGATATTGCGCTAACAACTGATAACTAATGATCATTATTTCTACTCAATCTTGTAAAACGTATGACCAACTTTGAGGTTTGACCACGGTTAAATTAAAATTAGACTGTACAAATAACTGGACTGACACAGTTAACAGTAATAAGTGATAAGAAATTATCTTAATCAGTTCTGCCTAATCTTCTGTATGTAATGTATGACCAAATTTCAGGTTTGACTGCGCTTAAATTTCATTTATCCTTCCTTCACGGTTAAAATATATTAAAAGTAGACGACGAAAATACAGCCAGGGCTAACTAAAAACCTTTAAAAGAACTCTCGCATAAAGAATTTCATCTTCCGACGCTGCAGCCGTGCGTCAACCAGTTACCCTTAACCAGTTAACCAATGACTGATAGCTAATGATCTTCATCTTTACTCAATGTTATTTTGATATTTATGAAGAATCATAAATTGTATTATTTGTATCTTTTAGGCATTTCGCTATTTAATGGTTGCTGTTACTTGGTCTATAAGTCTTTTTGAGCCTATGATGAACTTTTTAGAAGCGTTTTTAGGTAGTTAGTTAAGAAGTCTTAACGAAGCAACTGCATTATTTGTAAAAGATCGACTTGGCATACGAGTTTTGCATCAGCCACAGCGAATTATGTTTGTAAATCCCAAAAGTAAGAAAACTGCCCTATATCTCACACGACGGGGATAAATCAAGCTCCGCCTCTCGTTTATTTGGCGGTGCATAAAGAAAACAAACGATAGTGGCATAGTTACACGCGGAATATTAAAACGATATTAATGCCCGACTAGACGGTAATACCCGACATATGCCGCGATATTTCCGTGATTATTCTACTATCTATATATACGCTACAAGCGTTTCGACATATCCACAAACAGATTAAAACAAACCCATAGGGCGGACACAAATTCTCCGGCAAAAAAAAAACGGACTAATGAACAGATGTTCAGACAACGTATCCATTTTATCGCTCATTTAATGCGACACAAAGTGATCGAGTATCTCTCCGCATCAAATGGGAAAATGATGTATATAAGCTCTCCGGTCTGTAGTGAGTCCCCCGTGTCGTTTCTCTCTCTCTCTCTCTGCGCGTCTCTCTAAATTTGTTTTCACACCAAACAACTCGACTTGTTTGTTCGATGTTGATTGTAAGGTGTTTGTTGAGCTAATGGCACCGCCAATTGTTGATAAAAGCGTTTTGATTCGGATTTAATTCGACCGATTGCTGGAGCGTTGGGAAAAAAAGACACGAACGCTGACAGCCGGGATTATTTTTCTGACTCATTAAGCTGATAATGAAGACCCGATTTGGAGGAATTAGGCGCTATCACAGCCCGCTTGACGCAGCGTTTTACATTACATCTGTGTTAAGAGGCAAATCCAAACGTACGCGTATGCTTTTGTTACTTTGTTAGTTGGTTTATCCGATGTATAAATGACTCCGGCGGCTCACAGCCTGTAGCTCGCTCATTGTCGCCTGTTAGTGGTTGATGGATAACACACTCAAACATGTATACTTTATAATCGTGTAAATACTTACAAATATCAAGAAATAATGACGCAGAAAGGGCAGAGCAAAAAGTGGACCCATTACATTCTTGGTATAGTATATAGTACTTGCCTTCAATCGAAAATCCTTTGAAACAAATATTTATACCCGAAAATGGAAAACATTCATGTATACTCTTTTGATAGTTCATCTGTGATAGATAGATAGAAAGCGGCTACAAAAGTTTATTGGAAAAATAAAGAGATTTATGCAGACAAAATTGTGTCCATGAATGTATCAAATACGGCAACTCCTGTACTGGAATTTAATAGTTCCAAAGTACTTTTTATAAAACTTCCTGATTCCTCCTGCGTCGGTTTTTGTGGACTCGAACTAGCTGACGTTTCGCCAACCATCCTGTTGGCTCCTTCAGAGCTTGCCTGAAACTGTTAAGCCGGTGGAAGTGTCTTTGAAAAAGTTCCAAAGTAGTTTTATTAACTGAAAAATATATTCCAACAGAAAAATGCTTCGTTGGAACGTTAGAATAAGTCGCTATTAAAATTGAAATAAAGCAAGTGCTTCAACACGCAACACGATAAAGGAATAAATTGATAGTTCTTTGCTTATATGACTTTGCAGCAGATTGATTTTCTAAAAGATTTCTTTCATGTGGTGCTTATATCTTTTGAATTGAGAAATATTGAAAAAAGTGGTGCTGTGACATTGGATACAGCCCCATCACTCCTGGTAATCGGGAATGAACAGTAGAATGATTTATTTATTTATTTATTTAGTTACACTGTTCAACTGAATAAACCCAACTACAAAACAGGGACATAAGTGACAAATTAAAACAAAAATGCAAAAGGTCAGCAAAATGCTCATGCAACGTAAAACAAAACAAAAATAATTATATGCCATTCCTTGAAAATTATGTTTTAACTTCACGTACAGAAGAAGAAAATATATCAACCTGGAAACTTGCATATTCTGTGGGAAGGCGAAAATTTTAAAATATTCATACGCCGCGTAGAAAGGTAAAAGGTTTGATCTACTCTTGAGGCAAACTCGGAAACACCAAAGTTCAATTTTGAGTTTAAGAGGCTCGGATCAACAACCTGATTATGAATAATGTTGTTCAAGAATACCGCCGAGTGACAATCGCGGCGGGAACTTAATTTGTTTACTGCTTGGTTGTGTATTGCTTATATCAATTGGGGGATACCTATTACCATGCCTGAAAGACGAGAGTTTCAAGATTTTTCGTTGTACAGCTTAACCCGTACATTTTATTCGCCGCAGACACATTTTAGTCAATATGTGGAATGAAAGAAAGTTTAGGGTCAAAAGTAACACCTAAATCAACAAAAGTAGCTGGATATGATTACCAAATCGTTGATTTGGTAATCATATCTGATAATATTACTTGCAAGTGAATACGTCGTGACATTACATTTGATGGGAGTCATTATGGATACACCAGTTTTTAATACGCTTTACATTCAATGGCTGGTTTTCGCAGTCCTCAATACTATCAATTTTGCAGAACAGCTTTAGATCGTCAGCGTATAACAAGCAGTTAACATCAACACTTTCGACAATGCCATTAATAAAAATATTAAATACACAAGGGATTAAAAGCTACAAAATTCACTGCTGGTTGTCCATCTTATTTGTTTAAATGCGGTACCAACCACCATGCACTTTATCGAATAACTGAAACTGTTTCTTATTTTCAGTTGCTGGTTTCCGGCCAGCCCACAACAAACGCCGGCTCGTCCCCTGCTTCCGGTGGCGGTTCCCTGAGTCCGGGCGGTTCGGCCGGTCTTCCCGGAGCATTGTCGCCCGGCGGCACCTCCTCGACGGGCCCCACCCAGTGCTGCGAGTCCGGACGCCCTCTAGTAACAGACCCCGTGACCGGTCAGAGCGTCTGTTCTTGCCAGTACGATTCTGCCAGGCTGGCCGCGTTGCAGTACCCGCGCGGGGTGGGTGTCTACGGTACCCCGTACCCTTCTACCGACCAGAACCCTTATCCTAGCATAGGCGTCGACAGTTCGGCATTTTATTCGCCTCTGGTGAGTGTTGTGAAAGGGGCGCGAAAACGACGGCAAAAACTTCCCATATAAAATTATTGAAACAAATGTAAATACGTCGGGTAAATTACAATATCTGTTATAATGACCGTTTTAATTTTACAAATTGCTACCTGCCTAATCACCTCGGTATCTTAGCGTTGAACAGCTATTTACGGTGCGACTGTGTCGTTAAAATTTGATTGGAATACCTGTTATACCTACGCTAACCATCGCTGGGTTATCAACACTTTCGTTTCGTTTGCCCGTATCGAAAAATTCTAATCCGAAACAACTTAAACCGGTAATTTTACCTTTCAGAAAGTATACGCTTTAACATATTTGAATCGCTTACGTAGTACTAAAAACGTTTGTAAGTTTTGTGCGTCTATCTTCCACACACCTGAAGAGTTAGTTGTCTGATTCTAACGAGCAGCGTTAGAACCGGAGTTTGTATACCAGCAACGAGCAAATTTAATAACGTTACAGTCAGAGCATCCATTACACTCGTATAGAATTAGTATTTTGATGCAAACCAGTAGTTTCAAAGTGATCCTGTTCCTGTGAAAATCGATCAAAGCCCCGCGATGTACCCTGGCGTACACAGCGATGATGGACAAACCAAGACCAAGCAAATTAGGTTGAAATTGATCCTACCAATGTCAACCAGGGCCCCCTGAGGTACCCTATGGTACACGCTTGTTAGACAACCATCAAGCAAATTTAATAAAGTTACTCGCGAACGGTTGTTAAATCTGGCCCGGTCGGATTGTAAATGGCAGAGAGACGTTTTACAAATTGCCGCTAAACCAGTCCCCGTCGGTTTGGATCTGCAATACGCTCGAAACGTTTAACGAAAACACAATGTACGTCGCGATTTATAGAACGCCAGTGGCGTGGGCGCGAAAAAGGGAAACGCACGCCCCTGTCGCGGGCTTTCTATTGTGCCCGCCGGAGATGGACAAAGGCAGGAGATTCACAGGTGTACACAAAAGGCGTTTGTTTGCTAAACGCAACGTCTTGCAGTGTTGCAATTTGTAACCGTTTGTTTTGCCTATCTCGATAGGAAATTGCTATTTGTTCGGAGTTTCTCCATTCGGAACGCTCGCGGACGCCATCTTGGGTCCGATGTAAAACGAGAAATGAGGTTCACCGGTGCCAATATGTGTATGGAGTTCATTTTGTTAGAACGTTTATTACAATAATCGAGGAAGTACTGGGAAGAGTAGTTAAGACCTCACCTTACCGAAATCAAATCAAGCTCTTCTTTTACTCATTTGTCCTAATGGTCATTAGACGTCTTTTATTAAGTCTACTGTTATTTAAGGTTTTGCCGAGTTCTTTAGGTCGCCGTGTCTTTAAGTTTGACCCCTGGTGGCACTACTAACTAATCGCCATCTCTTTCTCATCCAAGTAAAGTTCATTCATATACTTTCAATATTGTTTCTGGTTGCAAGGATGACAGGTGACAGAGGTTTTAACGGATTCGCCAAAAACTAGCGGTCGCAATAAAAAATTGTCTCGCTTGACCGGTTTCGAGATAAATCAGTTTCCTCGCCGATATCTACTCGAATTTCCAAATATTGGCCCGAGTGTGTTTGCTTCGCAATATATATAACGTCGAACTCCTTGTCGAGTGACGTGCGGGAACAAAGGGCGCCGCCGCCATTTTGACACATGACAAGCGCGATTATCGACGCTCGGTACACAATTTGTTTTCGATGATCGTTTGTTGCCGACAAAAGAGTCAATCACTGCTGCGATAACCGAGCAAACAGCGATAAGGACGGCGTTATCATGCGCGGCACCATTGACGCCGGTTTCCAGGTGACGAGTGCGACGCATTTCGAGCAAATATCCTACAAAATAAATCACTCGAAAACGAAAAACCAGATCGACGATGACGATAACGCCTATCGGGTTTTGTATTACACCGATGTTTTACTTCAAAAATCGGCGTAAATCGTACGGGAATTAAGTCGATCTATCTTAGTCGACTTGTCAAAGGTTCGACCGAACTCATCCTCCACGACCGAGCGGGTTATTTTTAGACGCCGCAGTCGCATTTTGTCATATAGACAAACGCTGGACCCTTCTTGAGGTATGATGCTAACCCGGCATGTGATGCTCATGTGATTCTCCCGCACTTTGTACCACTAACAAAACTAAACTTTTATATTCACGTGCCGTTCAACTTCATCGGAATCGTGAACTCACTTCACACGATTTTCTGTACTAAATTCCTCAGCTTGATAAGGACCAGCTCAGTTCCCGTTAGACATTTAAAGTTTGCAAATATGGTCAATTTTGGTTCGTCTGATAGTAACTTAAGTCAAATTATCTTATAATTGCGTGTTTTGGCAAAATGAACGCGATAATCTTTAATAGTAAAATTTAAATCATTTTCTGAGAGGAAGCAACATGCGATTTTGACGTTATATTTCTACATTTTCTTCATTGGAAAGTGGGAAAGGTTTCCGTATTCACTGTGCATAGCCGCAAATCGTTACCGACCAGTGTGCGTTGATAACTGGCAATGCATAAGTGTCTATTATCACGTGGACCGCTATCGGAAAACCAACATCTCGTCATTTACAATCTTGTTGAAGACTTGGACAATTTCATATTTAAAATAAAATCCTTATCCTTAATCCGCCATATGAAAATCGAGATTGATATTTGTCGGCTTACCTTAACAATTAATGGTTGTCAGCTTTAAAATTTTACCATGGTATTTTATATATACCGTACATCAACATGTTTTATGTCGCATTATTTTGCACCTTGGGAGATCTACGCAGATGCTGTCAAGGGAGATAATATTGCAATGCCGGTGCAAAATAATATATACGTATGTATTAAGAACGATCGAGATTAGTCTAGAAGAATCATAGTAAATCGATATTATTTATATTTATAAATTGACTTTATAAAAAGGAAATTGTTTCCATTTTATGGCGAATAATTAAAGCAATAGCTCTGAAACAATACTGAGTTTACAAGGACGACTACACCACAACGTTGCTGGAGGCGTAATTACCAAATCACCAAATGATGCAAGCAGATTACCTATATCATCTACTGATGAATTACGCGATTCGCTAACCAAGTGTGTGGAGTTTAACCCACGATGTTCTGGACACGCGTTCCGCTTTGCAAATTGTGATAATAAAGCGGAATAATTATAGCATGTTTATCATCTACCGATGACTTAGGATCAGGAGCATCAGCAGATGATGTTCAGAACGTCGATTTAAGTGCAACGGTAACGGCAGCCTTATCGCTTCCCTCAATTAAAAAGAAACAACTATCCCAACACACACGGAGAGACAATATTGTCACAACACAACGTAATCGCGGTACAACAACGGCCATCGCATGACAAAATGTCGTGCCAATTCGTATATATAATTACGTTGCACCGCAGCATTGTCAGTGCGCACGAATACGTTCAATTGCTTCATATATCACGGCATCGACATAAAAGCTCGCCGTCCAATTTCTATTGTGCATTTCGATGAAATAAAATTGAAGCGCAGACGGACCGTGAAGCTTTGCCCGACGCCATATTGGTTCGCGAGCGAGATCGGCTTGTATATTTTGCCCCGGAGCCGTCGTCATATGGAAAAATGCGATAGAGTCGAATATTAGATTATTTAAATAAGTTTTAAATTTATTGATAAAAAAAGAATCGAAAATGCGTAGCGCCAATATGTTACTGAAACGACCCATCAATCATTGCAAACGTGGAGAATATTCTTTAATTCAGCATAACAATTATGATACGAAAAGAATGCAAACCATTTTGGTTCTCGCTGAACCCATGGCCAAGGTGGTGTACAGTTCCGGAAAATACAGACTAATAATAATGATGCATCCCATTGTCAGTGGAACCAACTGGGATGGATTAAAAACCAATTCTCAATAGAAGATGATAAATTAAAACTTCGACTGCGAGATAGGCTATAAATTGACCATGTAACAAAAAAGTCCATTACAATTAATAACGAATGTCCTATCCACGGTACACACTTTTGAACGGTTTATCCTCAATCCAATGACCTCAGTGAGTCTATCGAACACCGCGTCTCATAGTTCCTTCTTGCTTCTTACAGCTCTATAATGGTGCGCTGCGAAAGATGGTGCCTCCTGTTCTACTCATCTTCACTTATTTGCAGTAAATGGGACCATATTGTTTTGGTTCTTGCATTGCTTCAAAGTACCAATCCTTATACAGCCCTCCGTCCGTTTTTGTTTTGTCATGTTCACAACATATAGATCGCTTAAAGTCCGTTAAAACTTATTAAATGTCTTTGCCATTCATCAATAATATATTTATTAAAACTTGTTTCGGAAGACACTATAAGACGCTACAAGGCTCATCTTTAACGAAGAGTTTATCCGGCTCGAAGGACCAACTGGTGTTAATAAAAAAATCGTTTTCCTAGCTTACGACCGATATTCATTTTTATACGTGGCCGCATTAAATTTAAGTGGCGATTTGTCGTATTTTAATACCGCTGGGTGTCTGTGCGTTATAATGTATGACCTGGGCTCGCGTACATGTTTGTCCGTCATTAAATGTTTTAAAACGGTCGCATGTGCCCCGTCGTCGTCGATCCGACGGGCATGCAACTTAAAACAGGTGCAACTATGTCGACGTCTTGCGAGCAATTATAAAATGCAGGACTGTAGTGTTGCTTAAATAATTACGGCCGTCGCATCGTGCCGATAAAAATTAGCTGTTAACTGCTGGTCAATTGCGGAAAAAAAAACACGACGTACACAGATGCCACGTGTGTTGCATATTGTGCAACTGTTTCAACCGATCAAGATAATTGAAAATATGACTATATTTTTCTTTATAGAGAAAAGTAGTACTAGCACTATTTAGAAAAGGAATTAACGGATGTAACAATATATATATATATATATATATATATATATATATATATATATATATATATATATATATATATATATATATATATATATATATATAT